GCTAGTGGGAATGCAACTTAGTCCAAACACTATGGAAAGCTGTGGAGTTTCTTCAGATTACAAAAATGGAGCTACCATTTGACCCAGCAATTCCACTCCTAGGGATATATCCAAATAACACAAAAATATTATTTCAAAAGGATACATGACTTCCACATACATGCCATTTATAGCACCAAGGATGGGGCTGGAAGGAATCATACTTAGTGTAATAAGTCACTAAGAAAAAGAAAAAGAAAAAGAAAAATAGGGCCCTCCTTGGTAGAGTGATGTGTTGAAGTGCAGAATCAGGAAATTAGCCACTGCCACTTCAGAATGAGTTCAATCCTCAGCCACGGGTGTGACCCTCATGGTGTGGCAGACCTCTTGTTTCACCCGTTGCTCTGCTCAGCAGTGTACTTCAGAAGTCTACCTGTCCTACTCCCCATTCTGTCTCTGGTAAATCTTCTCACTGCCTCCTGAACCTCTAACCTGTACCCCAGCTCTGGCCTGGTTCTATGGGTGGTTCTTAATCCAATATGGTTGGTGTCCTCATAGACAAGATAATTAGAGCACAATGGTATGAAACACAGAGGAAAGATCATGCCTTAGGAGGGAGGCCTCAGAATGAAATTAATCCTGCTGACATCTTGGTCTCAAATTTCTAGATTTCAGAAATGTGTGAAAATATTTTTTTTTTCAGTTTTTAAAAAACATTTATTTATACATATAAGAACTGGAGTACAGGTCAGACGTGTAGGGGTAAGAGGATTCACCAGAGAGAGTGTGGGGAGCAGAAAAGGCAGATCTACTAAAATACACTGCTGAGGGAAGCAGCAGACAGGTCTGGAGAGGTCTGCTTGGCCATGTGGGTCATTTCCCTGGGTGGAGATTGAACTTCTGATGTAGTGGCTACAGATTGCTTTATAGTGCTGTGTTTTAACCAGTTGCACCACTAGGCAGGGTCCCAAAGTTTTTCAGTTTAAACCACCCATTATGTAGTATTAGTTATGACAACCCTAACAAACTTGTGAAACACTTATTAACATACATGTAAATGTATACATCTGCACATACACATATACATATACAAAGATATATATACATATATATATATATAATTTTTGAGCTTTAAGATATATGGCATGTAGATTTACCATCATAAATCATAATTAGAAATCATATTGAGAAAAATTGTTTATTTCATGAAATAACATTTAGTAAAACAGATCTAGTAATAAGAAAACTAGACGGCAAATATAATCAGCAGAAGTAGCAACAGGTGACACAACAGGTTAAATTGCAGCATTACAAAGCTGTTGGCAGCCACTACAGCATGAGTTCGATCCCTGGCCCAGGAGGTGAGCTGCATGTTGAGGCTGACCTCTCCTGATCTGTCCACTGCTTCCCTAAGCTATGTACTTTGTTAATGTTACTGTTCTGCTCCCCACACTGTGTCTGATGAATCCTCTCCCTGCCCCTGCCCCTCTGGTCTGTACTCTAGTTCTGTATGCATAAATAAATAAATCTTAAAAAAATAAAAAAGTAGCAGCAATTATTTAACAAAGATCCTAGTCAAAATTACTTTCATAAAATAAATGAAGTAAATTTTTTTTATTTTATTAAAAAGTTTATTTTTACATCATTTTGCACATTTTTTTTTTCATCTCAATTGTAATCCCCACGGGTTTCCCATCACCATATCACCCCTGTGCCACCACCATAGTCCCGTGCATTTCCCTCCCTTCCCCCCC